AGAGTATATTTGAATTGAATTAGTATTTAATTACGTGAAAGAAACATTCTGCAGCTATATTAGCGGTATAGTTGTAGCATGTCTGCTCAACCAGGGAAGGTCCACGCTCACACAGAATACAAGCGTAAAATAGGAGCTTAACGCTGCTGTAGAGAACTGGAGACCATTTTTACTGGAAACGAGGCATTCCATCTTAGTCCTTAAGGGTGACAACGCATTTTAATTCGTAATCGAGGATAGTTTGTAGATGTCTCCACATCCACTGCTGTAGCCGATAAACATCTACACATGCCATCAGGTGGGGTATGTGCTCGTTTATCACCCTTAATACTTTAAAAAATTAGGTATCCATATTTATATTTAGTATAATCAAACATTAAGGAATTGTTGCCATTTATTTATCAAGGTTATTATATCAAGACAGGACAGTGACAGGAATCCACAACTGTCGACAAGCAGTATACAGTACGTTCATAAAGTATCGCGAATTTTGAAAATCCGCGGGCTACGTAATTTGATTTTTGTTTTTTTGTAGCCTTATGTTGGTACTCACGTCCCTTACTTGCTGACAAGGTCGGCCATTTTGAATGTTTAGTTAATTTTTGACAGCTGCTTTGCTTGGATGTTTTTTGGCTCGTCTTCGATTTTTGCGTATCCCAAAAATGGATCAAAGAATCTGTATAAAATTTTGTGCGAAAAACAAAATAAAGTGCGCGGACGCATTCCGAATGTTGACTGTTGATGTGATAAGTAATACTCAAAGACTTCATAATTCGATGTTCAAATAGTAATAAAATCACCAGAAACATCACTACCATGTTGCAATTACATAATATATGAAATAAACATCTAAGTAATTTTGACTTAAAGGGATAGAGGCAGCACGAGACTTGACGCCATCCTAAAATTGAGTAGCGTAGCGTATGAGTATTTAAGCTTAAGTAAAAATTATTTATTTTAATTAACAACCACCAAATGTATATTAATGTATATTAAAATACCATAAATAAAAATTTATACCGATAGTTTCCACTAAAAGTCATAATAATAAGTTAATATTTTAGGCTTATTTCTTTTATTTTGTGTTTAATTTAAAAATCCAAAGAATACATACATAACCATGTCTGGTATCTAAGATAGCCGAAGTTGGAAATCCAATGTTCTTCAAAGTAATCGTTTAAAGTATCTAAGATATCCGAAGTTGGAAATCCACTGTTCTTTAAAGTAATCGTTTAAATTTAAATTATTTGTTAATTGCTTACATTTTGCTACGTATAATTTATATTTTATTAACTAACTGGACTTTTATATACATAGTTATGTAAAAATAAACGACGAGTTAATCTAAATATGTTTAGCTTTTTAATCACTAAGCCAGTGTTTGTTGTCAATAAAAAAATCAAAGCTTATTAAAATAAATTATAAAAGTCACGATAACGAAGTACATCTACGGATGTCTTACCATTTACTTGAAATTGACTTGTAACTTTAAAAAAAAGTGATAGTCGATACCTTTTCAATATTACACGTCTAATCCTGAAACCAAGTTTTTTCGACACTCTCACGTAGGTAGATGGATTTACGAGAACGGTTTATCGATTATGCGTTCACCAATCCGCCCGGAGTGCCGTTTTAAATAAATAATGAATTGAATTTATGGAACGCAAAACTACTGAAAAATGTATTTGAATTGAAAAAGCCTTAAAACAAACTATATGAATGACTGAAAATGAACTGAAATAATTTTCTATGCCCGGAAGTTGAGAAGCCATTTCCGTTATAGTTTATTTGCGACCTGTTCAACGTTTCAAGAATCGGTCTCAATAGAAAACTTCTCTTATTTGACGCCCAACGAGAAGTTTTACTTTGTGAAACAAGTTTTTCAGCTTAACTCTCGGTAACTTTCCATTCAACGTCGTTTAATTTAAAATTAGGCTGAAGCTAGCTATTAAGACTTATAGCGTTAAATGAGGAAATCTCATTCCGTAATTATTATTAGTATAATTAGTATTCAGAGCGGTATCTTTTACTTGAGGGTATAGAATTGCAAGTTCTTATATAGCTTACTTAACCAACTGGTAAATACAATGTAATCAATTGGCACTTAGCGTGACCTGAATCAATATTTTATCTACCGCATATAACTATTACGCGTGCTAGTACCCACGCAATAATTGATCTTTGCAAACGCAGAGACTAAATTGCACTGCGCAATAGACTTTAAGCTTATTAGCATAATTTACGTAGACTGTCAACGTTGGAATCTTTCTCAAAGACATTTTAAATTATTTTGAAAAAAAAAATTCAATGATTTATACAGGGTATGTTCCAAAATAGAACCCAGTGTACTGTCCAATGCAAATGGTGTCATGAATCGACCTTATACTGGTGATTCATTCCAAAAACATAGGAATAATAAAAGAATCATAAGAAATCATAACATAGGTCAGTATATGACGTCATACATTTGCGCCATATTGGAAAAGTGTTGGCGATTATTTTGTCGTTTTGTGCTCCTAAAATCATTATATCCTCCCAATGGAGACCAGCAATTATTCTATATATTTTTGTATTTGAATAAATAAAAACAAATTCTGGCATGCTTCATTCAGCGCACACACAATTAAATTTTTTTTATTATGTCCGGATATCCGACACAATATGGCGGCGGCACGCCAGTACAATATAGTGTCAATTGATGACGTCATTTGTATTCGGCAGTATACTGAAAAGGTTTCGGAACATACTCACAGCACGGTAATATTATCTATACAGTATTGTAACTCGGCCGTATCTTTCAAATAAATGCCTACAGCCGTGCGGCACGTAAACATGCGATAGGGCTGCCTGCCTCCAGCATTTTTACATTTGCCTACTTTGTGTTTCATAATAGCTCAATGTTGTAAATATACTTTTTTATATAAACAAGTAAAATAGGTACTTTGTGAATTGAATAGGATGTGTTCAATAAAAATGCGTGTCGTTTTTTGATTGGTAGATTTAATTAAAAAACCATGTTTATGTTTGAATAGCAAATCGGTCTTATAAATTTGCGACCGAAAAATATTTGCGCCTCGGCTGAGACTTACGAAATGATTTATTATTAGATTTTTAAATATTAAAAATCCGTTTTCTAATATAAAGCTAAAAATAATATAAATTAAAAATTGTTTTGGGAAACATGGGCAACGTGGAGAAAAGGAATATCTTTTAATTGGTTATAGATACCTGCAGCTACTTTACAATTTATATGTTTGGTTTTAAATGAAGTTCAGATTTATTATTTCTTTATTTCTATTCTATTATTTATTTTTTATATATTTCACAAAATCATCACTGCGGCACAGTCTCGACTGTCTGCATGCCGAGCGCATGCCGAGATCGAGGCGCGTAGGCATAACTCTCGCTTCGTCCGTTTGTATGAAGTTGGAATACTGTATAGATAGTGTTACCGTACCCACAGTGAGTTTGCGGATATATTTGAAGTGACTAAAGAGACATGATCTTTTACTTTGTGTTTAAGCTATATTATAATACCTACGAGAATACACTACTTATCGTTACCTTAACAGTCACAGTCTATTAAAGCCTTTTGTTGAACATAGGCCTCCCACATAAATTGTCTCTCAGTTGCCACCGCAATTTTTTTATTCGTTATTAGGAATACGCTGCTGCCCACCTCCTTATTTATTTCACTCTGTCGCCTCTTACGATACCCACGGTATGATCTGTGGTAGTGGATATTCCTACACCGTACTACTTGGTAACGAAAAATCTAGTTAGTGATATTAAATTTAAAACATTAATTTTAATCTAAACCGCGATTTGATATATATTATATAAATACGAGTTACCCCAAACAAAATTCAATCTGAATTACTTTTTCCGTACAACCACTTCAAAGCAAAACTTTAAACCAGAAACGTTTCGGTCCGAACAATAATGAAACGATAAAGATAAATTATTAATTAATCATGATCAAGGCTTGCTTAATCACGAGCCCATTTGACCGACCTTCCTTTGAATTTGAAATTCTATTAATACAGCCTACAAACTGCCTCATTTTGGAAGCAAACCATTTCGTATATTTACCTATTCAAGATACGGCATTGGTATAGCCTCTTTTTTATCGCATCACGTCTACAGAGTTCTACTAATAATATTCTTCGCAAGCGTAACTTTCTGATAAATTAGCTTTACTCGTACTATCATTCGAAATGCAGCTTCACCTAAAAAACTAACGAATGTAGAGGTCGAAAACATTTTTATCGTATTGAGTTATAGAATTTTAAATGAATCTAGAAACTCCTTTATCCATATATCTAAAAGAGAGAAATTATAATACCTATTTATTTAAGTTTAAAATAAATTTAGTTTTAGTCTTGAGATTTAGTCAAGCATATACATTTAATAATTTACGAATAAGGAAGAAGCCGGCACGAGCTGCGAAGTACAGGCTGCGGCGGTACACCGGAGTAGTGCCGTTGCGGTTTCCTATAGATAAAAGTCCGCAATGAGACACAAGAGTACCATATAATGTAACTGCACCTTATATTTTATAGCTTTAGAACTAGATAATTCCTGTTCATAGCAAATTTTAGCGCCTAGTGCGTAAGAAAGAGTTGAAATAATTGCGATACCGTTACCGCATCGCGTTGCCACCACAAACATCAGGTGGCTAAGCTTTTACATTTTCTGAAAGAAACCATTATTTAAATAATGCAGACATTTGACTAGCTTGCTACTTTTTTAATTATCATAATATATTTGGACCATTTGGAAATTATCGTTTATTTGGGATTATGTTCATTGCAAATAGTAGTATAATATTGTTTATATACAAAATGTTATATATAATTATCCTGTAACCTTCTTAGAGCCACAAAATATTGTTATTAAATAACTATCTCAGTAGTAATAATTAAATAACTGACTTTGCCAATGTAAAAAGTGTACAAGTAAGAAGAAACAGTGCATAAAAATAAAAGAAGTATATAAAAATGAAGTCGTGGTGGTTTATCTCTCTGCTGGCATGCCGCCTAATGATAGACGTAGAGGCATCGATTTACGACGACGATTACGACTCCTATACTGGTAGTTATGACTACAAGAATTCAGGTGAGTATCCAAATTTTGATTACTTTATTGTAACGTTATATAAAGCATTCATGGAAAATAAATAACGAAAATGGACTTAAAACTTTAAAGCAATTCATCTATTAAATCATAATAGCTGTTATCCGCGACTTCTTTCGCGTGGAATGTACTGCGATTGGATTTCATGGGGCTTAAATGTTTGTATATACTTTCATACGCATTTAGTAAAACGATTTTATTTTAACATTACAAATACACACGACAATTTTATTTATTTGTATAATATATAAGCCAGTCATCCAAACAACCAATCTGTCTGCTCAGCGTGGTAAGAAGGACAGTTATTAAGTTATGCAAGCTATTAGATGCATTCTTGCACACGTTTATGTTTGGATATAATATAAAATTTTATTTTTCGAACGAAAATGTTAAAAATACGTTTTGATATAATATAAAGTTATATTTTTCTAACAAAGCAAAGGATTTTCGTTAAATTCAAATGTTTTACTGTCAAACTAATTTGATTTCCACTATTACATTTATCTTTCGCTTGAAGCGAAGCGTCCTTCCAAATTAAGTTTGAAACGACAAACGAGTAGTCTTCAACAATAGATGAGATTTTTAGTGCCTAGATATAGGTTTATAGAATTGTTCGTGTGACGATATTCGGTGAGTGATTTTTGAGCATACTCATCTATGTCCATTTCACTAGTTTGCAAGGCGTCAACGTTGTTGTTAACTGAATTATTTTACTTAAAAATTTTGATTGAGTTTTAACTATAAAAATTTCAAATGACATGACTTCTGTTGAAGATATTAGGACTTTATGTAAAACGAGCAATATAGTGTGTCTACAGGAGACGTGGCTTCTCAGTCACAACGTTCCGTTCCTGGGAAATGTTTCCAGTGGGTTTGAGTATACCGGTAAGTCTGCTGCGGACCGTATGGCGGAGTGGCCATCCTCTGGAGGCATTTTTGACACTGAGTCAGTCGTGGAATGTAACAGTAAACGTCTAGCTGCTAGCAAAGGTACTATAAACGGTCGTACTACCTTAGTATTTTCAGTATACATGCCAACAAAATCTCATGAAAACATGCCGATTTTCACTGAAGTTGTAAGTGAAATAAGTGCGATCGAATATAGCGATGTCGAAACTACATATATATTAGATTATTTTAATCAAATATGGACTATTCTATAGAGAGCTAAGTGATTTCTGTAAGGATCAATCTTGGGTTTGTGCGGATGTAAAAATATTAAAAACCGACTCGTACACAGTTATCGACCCGTACCATGGAAGTAGGAGCTGACTTGACCACTGTGTGGTCTCCCTTTCAGCCCGGCAAACGATTTTGGTTGAAAGAGATGAATCTCACATAAATAGATACCGCAATCTATGTACTAACAGCTTACGGGATGTCGACTTTCCTCCTGAGTTTGTGGATTGCAGCCATGGTTCATGCAGCTTGAAAAACCACAAGTTAGATTTGGACAGCTTTTATACACGTATTGCGGATATTCTGCAGGACGCAGCTGTTCAGACGAAGGCCCAGGTTAGAAATAAACCACGGAGGAACAAAGTTTTGAGTGGGTGGAACAAGCATGTTAGGGAAGCTCACCGGCACTGGGTTTTGCATGGTCGATGCTCCTTCTGGCCCAATGTATGAGCAAATGTGCGAATCTCGTAAGATCTTTAAAGGCAGACTAAAATAGTGCTCAAGTAACCAGTAGCAAATAAAAATAGACCAAATAGCTAAACTTAGAGCGAAAAAGAACTTTAGTAGTTTCGAGAAATCCACAGGGAAACTAACTCCTGGACTTCTGGCGAGTTTCGATGGCAAAAGTGAGCCGGGGGATATCGCAAATATGTTCATGGAACATTTTAAGGTGAGGTCCCCACTTGGTCCATCTGTTCCTTAGCCCGAGTCTGGGCCCGGCGTGTGCGGGGAGAGGCCATTGCTATTATTTACAACCAGCCAAGTAAGGCTGTAATAAAAGGGATGAGCAGAGGAAAGTCTTCCGGCTTAGTATCGAGCACCGGAGATATGCGGGGGGTGCATTTACCGAGGGTCCTGTCCTTGTTTTTCAATATTTGCATCAGCCACTCGTACTTATTAGCTAATCTAATGAAAACTATTGTTGTGCCCATAGTGAAGAACGGGACAGGAAATATCTCGGATAAGGGGAACTATCGCCCAATCTACCTCGCTGCTACGATAGCTAAGATATTGCATAGTCTGCTTGACTCTGACTTTCAAAATTACTTAAACCTGCATGATGCGCAGTTCGGGTTGCGACCCCGACTACCCACTGAAAGCGCAATTTTGAGCCTTCAGCATACTGCCAATAACTTCACAGACCGGAGGACGACTGTGTACATCTGTTTTCTGGATCTCTCCGAAGCCTTCGATCTCGTTTCATATGATGTGCTTTGGAGGAAGATGGAGGACAGGGGTATTCCAGCAGAGATGATCAATATCTTTCGATATTAGTATGCAAACCAGACACTCAAAAATACAGTCAAACAGTCTCTCCGAGTCATACAGGTTGGAGTGTGGAGTAAGGCAAGGGGGTTGTCGTCTCCGAAGCTTTTCAATCTATATGTTAACGATATCTTGGTGGAGCTCAGTAGCATGCATGTTGGATGCCGCGTGGGTGGTGTTAGTATCAATAGCATCAGCTATGCGGACGACATGGTGTTACTGAGTCTCACTGCGAACGCGATCGAAGAAATGTTGAATGTGATGTGAGACTTACGCTGCCTCGCATGATCTTGTATACAACTTTAATAAAAGTGAATACATGGTCTTTAGGGTAGCCGGTAAGTATCCCGAATCTATCTTTGCAATAACTCTAAATGGATCGGAACTAAAGCGGATTTATCAATTTAAATACTTAGTGCAAATTCTTGCTGATGACCTTAAAGATGATCTAGATATAAAGAGAGAGCGTAGGGCTTTGGCGATACGCGGCAATATACTAGCCCGTAGATTTGCCCGCTGTTCAGACCAGGTTAAAATAACCTTATTCAAAGCGTATTGGTATGCCAAAAAATCGCTAAACACGCTGCTAGTCTAGTACAATAACGTTTTCAGGATGATGTTGGCACTTACCCGCTTCTGTAGTGCCTCTGGCATGTACGCACAGACCCGAACTGACGGTTTTTCAAAAAAAGTAGCGTAGCTGATGAGAAGGATAAGGAGAAGTGACAACAGCATCCTGAGAACGGTGGCAGATGATCCGCATGCGCCTATTGTGAGGCACTTCGTGCAAACGATGAGTCATACAGTGGATGATAATTCTTCTAGGTGTCGACCACACTGAGTGCCTCTTAAGTATGTGACAAATTAGAATTTATAATAAAATATAATTTAAATTAAATTGTTTTCAAAATACTAACACTTTTTTAGCATTAATGTAATACTAACCCATGGACCTTTGTTGTCTGAAATAAATGAATTTGAATTAAGCTAGGAAGAGCTTCTCAATTCGACTGGTTTGTTTTTCATTCTTCTTTTGTATCTTACAATTATTAAATTGTGAACTGATTTTAATGATGTGAATGTTAAACTGGGAATGGTACCACCATTCAAATTTAGACGAAATTCCAACACTAAGAGTCGTAAAATGCTTGTGAAGTTTTTAATGTTACTATTTAAACTACGACTACGTTGTTAGTTCTTCGAGCTATATGGCCGGCCCATTGCCGCTTCAGCTGACTAATCTATTGGACTATGTAGGCCACTCTGGTTTTCTGCGGATATCCTCATTTCTAAGTATATCACTGCTGAATTTCTTCGCTGAATCTTGAGCTTCCTCATACGGCCTCAAACGCAAATTAGACTTATGTCACAGTAAATTATTCTGCTGCTGTAAGCAAAATAGGTATTAATTATTGTCTGTCACTCAGTATTATCTCGTATTATGCTATCGGTTCCTACCTAAGTTTAGAAGTCAGTAACAAAATAGTCAAATAATTAAACACTGTTATTTTCTTTACGAGAAAAAATTGTTCACTACGAATTAATGACATATTATCATATCGAAACAAACTAACCTATTTTATTCCATACATTTTATTCCATACATAGGAACAATAAATGATTTTGATTATGATCACCAATGCCTCTTAAGTTTGATTTTGAACAGCCCCTTAACAACATTACATATCATTAGATATTAATTATTGCTATATTGCTAAAATTCGGTATTCGTTTCATAGATCAATGGTACTGTTATATTGATAAGATGGATATGTGTCGTCGGCGTAGTGCCATTCATCTGTACACGCTGTGATACTACTATTTTTTAGTAACTGATATTACTCAAAATGTCAACCTCGTTGGCACATTGCACTCTGCTAATTGACAGAGATAGTTCCTTATGTGTGTCATGTTGGAAGATCCATCCAAAGCACTGAACTATACATGGTAGAGTCATGCTACAACTACGTTATGGTTGTGGTACGAATTGGTCTGCTCGGCCGGGGCAAGATACCACGCCCTCACAAAATACCACTTAAACATCTCACGTAATAGTTGGATGGAGTCATTTAAAAAATAAAAATGCTTAAGTTTCATAGGAAAGTGCGCTGAGTTCCGGTCTGAAAGGTACAGAGAGTCAAAATAATAACACGCTGGGAGGTGTTTCGTCTTGGTTCTCAGAAGTGACAAGCACCTGTAGCCTTCTTTATTTGGACTTGCCTTCAGGTATCCACAGTCTGCAGTAGCTTGTTACCACCAGGTGGACTGCAATTTCCTTTATCACAACATTTTTATATAAAAAAGTAAAATATTTAGCAACTATATGTATAAGGTGATTTAAAGGATTAATAATACATTTTCTTCTTCAAATAACCAAGTATGCCTTACCTTAATAATTTATAATTAGTTTTCGTAAGGTGTAAGTGCTTATTAAGCTTAGTAATCTTAACGACCCAAAAAAATTGTTAAGGTCATAGACAAAGTCGCACTTTACCTTCATTTACTCAACTCTAAATTTCAAAGTTCATTATCTTCAA